TGCTGCTTGGCCTGCTGTGTTCATCCAGCCCTGCACCTTGTTGTCTCAGCGTAGATGAGTTGGGCCAAAGGATCTGTTTCCATGCTGTATGACCCGATGACATCTGCCAATGGGAAAGAGATTCTCATGACCTGTTCTATCTACACATCTCATAATTTTGTATGCCTCAATATGAACTCACACCATACCCCGCACCCCCCCGCCACCCTCCTCTGCTCCAAGGAAATCAAATCCAGCCTTTCTAGATTTCCTCATAACTGAGACTTTCTATCCCAAGCAACATCCTGGTGAATCTCCTCTACACCCTCAATCATGTCGTTCTGGTAGTTTGGCAACCAGAACTGCACACAGTATTACAACTGTGGCCTAACCAATGTTTTATACTGTTGTAACGAATTTTGCTCCTATATTCTATGTCCCAGCTAATGAAGGCAAGCATCCCATATGCCTTCTTCACCATTCTGTCTTCCTGGGCTGACACCTTCAGGGATCTATGGACCTGTACACCGAGGTCCCTTTCTTCCTCAGTACTCCCTAGCGACCCATCATTCATTGTGTACATCCTTCCCTTATCAGACCTCCTGAAATGCATTACCTCATACTTATCAGGATTAAATTCCATCAACCATTGCTCTGCCCAGTTAACCAGCTGACCAATCTCGCACTGTAACCTAGGGCCATCCTCCTCACTATCAACAGGTGTCATCTGCAAACTTATTAACTTTACCTTCTGCATTCACATCCAAGTCATTAATGTAAATAACAAACAGTATGACACTATTAAATGGGCCACCACTCACTGCAACAATCCAGAACTACACAGGAAAGAGGAAGAGTACCTACACAAAATCTTCACTATGAATGGATATCCCCACAACTTCATCCGCAGGTGCCTCCTAAACAGACAACAACAGAACACAGTACACCCTAAGATACTGGCCACACTGTTCTATATCAAGAACATATCAAAACTGACAACGAGATTTCTAAGACCACTAGGAATCATGGTGGCACATAAGCCCACAGCCACGCTACGACAAACACTCACAAGTATTAAAGACCCCATTCCCACAACATGCAGAACCAACGTTGTTTACATAATACCATGCAACGACTGCCAAAAACATTACATCGGACAGACAGAAATCAGAATACACGAACATTAGCTAGCAGCAAAACGACACAACGCATTTTCCTTAATATAGTACACTCGGACAATGAAGGCCATCTGTATAACTGGGACAACATAACAATAGTAGCCCAAGCCAAACATTGACATGCACGGGAATTCCTAGAGGCATGGTTCTCAACCCATAAGGCAATCAACAAACATAAAGAATTGGACCCCATATACAAACCCATGCACAACAAACCAGAAATGACACCACTCACCATAATGGACCGGACATATAAATTCCAAGCGGAGTAGAACAACATTGCTTCATCAGAGGCCTCACTGAAGATGTTACCTAGCATGGTGATGAAATGTTTGAACGAAAACAAGAGGATTTGTTGACTTGGTGAGCAAGTCAATAACCTCATCCACAACCTGAGCTACAAATCTTTGCTAAAACTGTAAAATATGACTCTTCTTCAGAACTTTCAACCTGAAATATAACTCTGTTTCTTTTTCCACTAATGTTGCCAGACCTGCTGAATTTCTCCTGCATCCTCTGTATTTGGTCAGGTCTGATCCCTATACTGTCACACATGCCAGGTTTGCTTTTAGAAATTGAGATCCAATTACTGTTAAAAATCACAACATGCAAAGCAGTTCTTTTAAAAAGATATATGTATATCTTTATGTACTAATTAGGAATAGGCAACTTTGCCTCACAAACCTGTTCTGTCATTTGATATGATCATTGCTGAAGTTCTTGAGAAGAGTCATATTGGGCTCAAATAGTTCTCTCTGTTTCTCTCTCTACAGATGCTGCCAGACCTGGTAAGTTTCTGTTTTTATTTATGACTGATCTGATTGAGGCCTTAACACCACTTTCATGCCAACCCCTGATTCTCTGTGCAATGGCCTAGTGGTATGATTGCTGGACTGTTAATCCAGAGACCCAGATAATGTTCTGGGGATCCAGATTCTAATCCCATCATGGCAGATGGTGGAATTTGAATTCAATAAATATCTGGAATTAAGGATCTAACAATGACCGTGAATCCATTGTCGATTGTCGGAAAAACCCATCTGGTTCACTCATGTCCGTTGGGGAAGGACACTGCTATCCTTACCTGGTCTGGCCTACACGTGACTCCAGACCCACAGCAATGTGGATGACTCTTAACTGCCCTCTGGGCAACTAAGGACAGGCAGTAAATGCTGCCTGGCCAGTGATGCCCTCATCCCATGAATGAATAAAGAGAAAAAAAATAATGGTAGCATAGGTTACTATATAAACCAAGAGGCGAAACAAGTTTGTAGCATGTACGGCACAGTAGTCATGGGTGACATCAATGTGAAGATAGATTGGGTAAACCAATTGAACACTAAAACTGTTAAGGATGAGTTTCTACAGCATGTCTTCTACAGCAGCATAATAAGGAGGGTTATTTTGTATCTAGAACAAAAGCAGAAGTTGCTGGGAAAGGTCAGCAGGTCTGGCAGCATCTGTCAAGAGAAAATCAGGCCATCAGTCAACAATCTACTTATTTCACTCTTAAAAATATTCAATTACTCAGCCTCTACAATTCTCTGGAAAAGAGAGTTTCAGAGACTCACCAACCTCTGACAGAAAAAAAATCTCATCCCTATCTTAAACAAGAGACACATTGTTTTTAAAATATTTCTAGTCTCTCCCACAAGTGGAAACATGCTTTCAACATCTACCAATCAAGTCTACTCAAGGATCTTCTATGTCTTAATAGGATTATCTCTCATTCTTCTAAACTCCAATGGACACAGGGCCAAGTGTCCAATCTTTCTTCATTATATAGCCCATTCATCACAAGAATCAGCCAAGAGAACCTTCTCTGTACTGTTTCTCATGCAATTATAACCTTTTTAAAACTGTATTGATGTGCCATGTAAAATTGTAACAAATTTTCCCCTCTTAAATATTCCACTCCCTTTGCAATAAACAACAGTATTCCATTTG